GTGCAGGCGACAAGGACGAGCTTTTGTCCAAGCGAGAAGTCGGTGGTATCGATGGGTAGATCAACGTTGATTAAGCATTGAATTGTGATAAAAAGGTAGATCAAGAGGAGATTCCAAGAATTTTTTAAAATCGTGATCCATTATTGGGGGAAATGTCGTTGGGGTGTTGGGGGCCACAGCTTTTTTCCATCATTGACCGCTAGAGGGCACAAACGGAGGGCGCTAGCTGTCCTTACCCGTGCTTAAAGGAAGTTCTTAACCAAAGAAGTATAGTTTTTACCTAATATTTACCAGGAGAGGAGCACCGGGGTGGGCGAGGTGATTCATCGTGCAAGAAATTGGGATCATGTTAGAACTCGATTTTGAATTGACCAACCCAGCCCCGATGCCCCTTACCTCCTGTGGCTTAGTTTAAAAAAAAACTATTTTTCTCGGCTAAGAACGTTTCTAAGTACCATTGGGGACTCGCGAAGATGGCTACACTCCCTTCTTTGCGCTAAACGTTCAATGAAAATGGTAGGAATGGTAAAGAATGTTGGGTGAAAATGTATTTGGGGAAGAGGTGGGGGGACCCTGATGCTTTCCCCTGGTAAATATTAGGTAAAAACTACTATATTCTCCTGGCTAAGAAAGAACAGCGCCTCCCTACCTCTTCCCCAAATACATTTTCACCCAACATTTTTCACCACTCCTACCATTTCCATTAAACATTCCGACCGATTCCATTAAGTAAATGTGCAAATTCCCACGATAAAACACTTGAACCACATTTATAAGAAGTTTTGTCCAACCAGTAACATATCATGGATATCTACATAGTCTTTATAAACTGAATTCATCAAAAAAAAATTAAAAACGTCATAACAATCTGAAATTGTGAACAAATTCAGTTTATTACAGTTTATCGACTCTCTTCTCCTGAACGAAAATGACTCGAGTCATATAACTGACGACAGTGATGCCTTCTCCCGTGTGGAATTGCTTGGGAAATGTAGGTCAATCTAATGCCTGCTAACAGCTATTAAATATAGAACAGCAGTCTTCTCGGATTATCCCACAAAGAGCTTCCATGATGCCGCAAGGGAATGGAAGGGATGAAAAGAAGGAAGGAAGCCATGTCAGCTTATCGACTAATGTCTTCCTGTCAGCCTTCTTCAAAGAGCCTTAGAAGGATATCTCAGGAAATACTCCTCTCGACGAATCGATCCCACTTCCCCTACAAGCTCTTTCCAATGAGTAAACAGTGATATGATGATTTGTTCGGTTCAAGTTTAAGTCAAAATGCAAGTTCCGTGGAAGGCTCACTCCACTGTACGGCACCTCGCTGAGGGGGACTGAAGAAAGGATGGGTCGCCAGACGAATCAGTCAGAATAGTGCCAGGAAATGTGCTTTGGGCCAAGGAAAATGTTTTCGTCTGAGCCTTATTGGAGGAAAAACTCAAAATGGGTGAAGTTCAATAGCATAGGAAAGGAAGTTGGCCAACGGGATTCTACATCGGCGTGAGAGTCCAATTGAGGGTGAACAGAGAACCGAAAAAACAGCAAAATCGGAAGGGTGAGCTTGAGCCCACTATCAATCTCAATGTTGCCCCTGCTCCTATCGATACATCTTACCATCAGTGTCTCGCCGTTTTTGAAACCATTTTACGTTGTTTTATCGCATACCCATGGAATTCGGCATGAGTGACTAAAGGGGCTAAAAGAAAAAAA